TTTCTCAAGTAAAATATACCCTTGATCTTGTTTTCATAACTAAACTGAATGATAACAAGAGTGTTTCTACACCTCTTAAACCTAATGTCAAGCTTACACCTATGGATGGCTCTCCACTTTCTAATCCTACTCGTTATCGGCAATTGGTTGGTAGTCTGGTTTATCTTACTACGACACGCCTTGATATAGCATATGCAGTTCATATTGTTAGTCAGTTTATGGCTGCTCCTCGCTCCACTCATTATGCAGCAGTACTTCGCATTATTCCCTATGTTAAGGGAACATTATTTCATGGACTCCATTTTTTTGCCAACTCCTCCCCTGTGCTTCGTGATTACTCTGATGCTGATTGGGCCGGTGATCCTTCTGATCATAGATCTACCACCGATTACTGTCTTTTCCTTGGTAATTCTCTCATCTCTTGGTGAAATAAGAAACAAGCTATTCCATCTCGCTCTAGTACAGAAGCTGAGTATAGAGCTCTCGGGGATACCACATCAGAACTTCTTTCATTGCGGTGGCTTCTTGAAGATATGGGCATTCCTCAACCTTCTTCTATTGATTTATATTGTAATAATCAAAGTGCTATGCAGATTGTTCATAATGATGTCTTTCATGAACGTACTAAACACATTGAGGTTGATTGTCACTTTATTCGCCATCATGTTGCACAAAGAACTGTTCATTTGGTTTTCATTGGCTCCGCTGATCAACCAGCAGATCTCTTTACCAAGGCTCATTTTCCTGGACGCTTTCGTACTCTTCTTTCCAAACTCAAGTTGGTTTCATCACAACCACCTTGAGTTTGAGGGGGGATGTTAAGATATGAACATAATTATATTTAGAATTATTGTAAATATTTTATACTTTAGAATATTCTCTTTGTATACTTTATACTTTAGAATATTTTCTTTGTAAACACCTATATATAGGTCATTGTACATATAGTATAATTCAAGAAAGTAATAAATCTTTCTTCAGATATTTCTCCTTCTTTTCAGTTTCTAACAGAAAGGAATAAAAAGCGGTGGACTGAGGAGAAGAGAAGGAGAAATTCTAATTGGGAATCGCAGCATGCACAGCTTTTTTCTGATCATAGTATATTTTTTTGTTGTCTGCAGGATTTGAAGGTTGAATTGAATGCAAATGCATCTGAGCTCACAGATGCTGATGATATTATGTATGTGTTAGAATTAAAGTGTCTCCAATTTCACTCCCATCTTTTCTCCTTATCTTCATTGGTTTTCTAGAGTGTATTGTCCATTTTTCCTTTTTCATTAACTCAATCAATGATATTTTATTCTGTGTTATTTATTTAAACTCTAAGCAGTAAGTATTCACTTTTTTGCCTCAAATCATACACTCATTCTCAGCTCAATCCATTGATCCTGATTCAATTCTTGAAATTTTTTGTTTTCCTGAAATTGCTGTTACTTGTCCTTTTTCTAGTGTTGAGGATCTGAGGGTTCTTTCTGAGGAACAATTAGTTGAAATTGCTCTTAAGGAAGCCTTTAAGGTATGTGCTGCTGAATTTAATTTTTTTATTATAAAGCTCTCTCTTTCTTCTGTTCTTGTTTTATAATTTTGGCTTTGGGTAACAGGACAGTGACAATAGTTCAAAAGTTTCAGAAAAGTGCTCTAATGCATGGTGAGTCATATGCACTATTCCTTCCCAATCCAAAGAAAAAGTAATCTGATCATGCCAAAAAGTCAATAAATTTCAGGCAAAAACTAAGTTGGGGAACTACCTTCAACTCAGAAAACCTACTTTTGTTTTGTGCTTATCTTGCATAATTGAACAGATAAATCTAGGAGAGCACTGAAAATCTACTCTCCATACTTCTGGTTTCTTTATTCATAATTTCTATTTACCTTGAATTTGGCAGGCCTTAGTTACAAATAAGTTGAATTAGTTCGAAATTCCCTTTATCTATTATTGAAGAATTCCTTTTACAATTTTTACTATATTCTTTAAATATTATTTTCATTTTTTCCAACTGAATTAATGATTACTTAGCTCTTCGTTGTTTGTCTGGGACCATAATTGGAATCCAGATAAATGGCTGTATATAGTGACCTGTCACTTAGTTTTGTTTCAGTATTTGATGTCTCCAAATTATGCTTTATTTGTTGACATTATTTATACATTGAATGGTGGTTGTGGCAGGTCAAGAAATAAGCAAGCATGTTTGGGGAGCACTGGTAAAGGAGATGATAATTCAGCTTCAGGTGATTTTGCAAATGGATGTTCTCCTGGAAACAGTTCTAATCAAACTGCATTGACAAAGGAAAATAGCTCAAGGAAGAGGAGTAGGAAAGTTCATGACTGTCATATTGAAGTATGTTACAGCTCATGCTAGAGATATCTGTTGCCTATTAATATCTGCTTATAGTGTTTTTGTCCAATTCTTCCTAAATGTTATATACCATATTTAATGACTTGGATGAGAATTTGATTTCCAAATATTTCATATTCTCTTTTTACCTTAGAGTCTGCAAGGTCTTAATCTTCTCAACTTTCTTCTCTTTGCCATTTTAAATCTAGAATGTTTGTTATCTAAAATATTTTGTCTTGCATGCTTTTTCATTCCTTTCATAAGAAATTTTTGGTTTTGCATTTTCAGAATAGCTATGTTGCAAAGGTGGAGGAACTTGCAAAAATTAAACAAAAGCAGGATGAAGCAAAAGCTGCAGCAAGACTGCACTGTTTAAGGTTTGTAATATGCAATATGTCTGGGACTCTTTCAGATGCTTCTCTTTTAATTTCTTTCCTAAAAATTATCTATTTTCTTGCCCAGTGCCATCTGTCAAAGCAATGACTGTTCCATTCCATCCTTGGAGAACATTGGGAGGATGAAATCCCTCAGGTCTACAACTTCAGCCAGAAAGGTATGCTCTAGAGGTTCCCATGTGTAAACATCCAACACATAACCAATTGAAAATAAGTGGAGAAGAAAGAATTTGATACAACTTTTCGATCCAGCTTATAAATGTTTAAAAATAATTGTTATCGAATTTCGTTTATGTTTGCATTTTGCAAATCAATCTTGGAAATTGTTTGATACTGCTTTGTGCTGGTTTCTGTAATCCCTTGAAACACAGATTATGCATGAGGTTGTATATCATAAAAAGCATTCCACCTTAAGTACCAGACAATCCTAAATTTTACTTTATTGTTTGTTTTGAATGAAATGCTAGCCATGCTGCCATGAGAGAAGAACCCTTGGAGGAATAAATTATAAATCAATTTATTTTAACTATTTTTGTGATTTGATATTTTAAGCTTGAGATTAAATAGTTTCCAATTTCAATTATAATTAAATTGGGATAATTGATTTAAATCATTAGGAATCCTGATTAAGATAGATTTAAGGTTTTAACATTGTGTATTTAATGTTGTGTCCTTTTCTTTTAAGTTTGAGTTTTATGACGATGAAAAATTTAATATTGTGAGTTATCTTCCTGTAATTCCCTCTGCCTTTCACTCTTCTCTTTTTCTCCTCTATTTCCCATTTATATGCTGATCACAAGTTTCACGTTGTCTTATAGCAGCTAGGGGTAGGCTCCATCAATATGATGATGAATTCCCAAGATCATGTAATCTTCTGAACATAATTACATAATTGAACTGAGGATAATTTCCAAATCTCAAAGTCTTAGTTCTTGGGAACCATGTGATTTTGATGAAATATAAGGATTATGATTTTAAGAGTTACAACAGCAATGAACTCTAAGCATTGAAGCTTACACCTAAAGGTTTTTTTTTTTTTTTTTCTCTATTCATGCATGGTTTTAATGCTGATTTTACCTTTCTGTTGGCTGAAAATGTCTTATCCATGTTATTTTTCTTTGGATCAAAAACAGGTAAGTTCATCAGACATGGAACAGCTCCTACCTGTTTCAGGCCAAGAAGTTGTTCTTTGCATTGAGGTTTACCATAACATACGAAAATGGGCAAAGGTATATAGTGTGAACTCCCTATCATTTCAAATTTGGAATCCTATTGCTAGCTAACTTCAAAGAATAATACTATGATATCTTCAGTACTGGTGATTTAAAGCAGATTGATAAGGTCTGTGTTTAGCAGTATACTGTCATGTGTGAGAAAGGCTGTTGGATAAACACGCTGTTGGTCTTCCTTTTGACATTTAATCTACTTATATACTGTTTGATTCACTTTTTATTCATTTTCTCCTGTCTGTTGTGCTGGAGTAACTTCTTCTGGAATTGTTTTTAGATCCAAGAGTTCCTGGTCCTTGGACAGCAAAAGTTCACCGAATTGAGGGACAAAATATATTGCTTGTCAGACCAAGTGATGCAAAATGCTGGGCAGCATGATCCTTCTGGATATTTCTTTATAGAAGTAAGCAGCTTGATTCACTTGTCTTGTCCTTTTTAGCGATTAAATAGTTTTAAGTTACCATATCCAATGGACTGTTATAACTGTGCAGAATGTATTCTACAATGATTCAAGAGATCCCTCTGCTATAGATTACAGCAAACCAATACTGGATTGGCTTAGCAACTCAAAGGATGATGCTCTTAGGAAATGGGAATGCTTAGTAACTGGTCAACTGCAACAAAAGCATAGAGAAATTTTAGGCAGTCCACCAACCTCAAAATTGCCTCACTTCGAAGCTGTTAACATGCACGAAAAAAAATTTTGCAACTTGAACTTTCGACTTGGTGCTGGATACCTCTATTGTCATCAGGTTCAAAATTTTCACCTATTTTGTGTCAAAAAAGAAAGTAGAGATCCTTTACTTGCGAATTTGCACCCACCAAAAATGACAGCAAGAAAATTGGAGGGCATTCTTACACTCTTGTCCTCTCAATGAACACATTTTAGCTGTTGTTTTATGGATCAAATTCTAAGATGGGATTTTATAGAGTTTAAAAACTTTTCTCCACATTTTAAACCTTCAAGCACTCTCCCTGTGCATGGCTATTGGAATATGTTTTTCCTTACTCTCGAAGAAGAGAGAAACTTATTTTGGTTTAACTTTGTACGGGGGGACTGCAAGCATACAATTGTGATTAGAGACATGAGGTTGATTCATCCTGAGGATGTGAACAACCAGGCAGCTTATCCCATTGTCATCTTTCAACTAAAACCCCGAGTACAAAAATGCAATGTCGCAAAATTTATAGAGCTACAAAGGTGACAGCAGACAACAAGTGGGCAAGCGAGAACCCATGTTACTTTTGTGATCAATGCTATACCCTTCTCCATTCTGGTGCTGACACTTCGCCATATACTGACTTTTTAGTGTATAATTATGTGCATGATTGAATGTCAATTGTTATGGATCATCAATTTCCCAGCAGATCAAATTATTTGGGGCATTCTGATGCTCCTTTGAATTAACAAGTAAATAAATAAATAAAATTATTTTGAGCTAGTAATTGTTTGAGATTTATTTTTCTGTGGTGGCCATAAATGAAAATGCATGGCCATAGAATCCTGGTGTGTGTGGCTCGTGTGGCCACAGGGTTCAAATCCCCTTGACCCCCTTCCCCCTGCCCCTATACCCCAATTCCTGTTGTACAAAAAAATAAAAAAATAAAAAATAAAAGCATGGCCATAATTTGTTAGTATTGTTCTAGCCTCATTTGTTGATACGAGGAGCAACGTAGCCATTTTTTACTTCGTGATTCCAACTTAAGCTCCGCAGAAGGTTTAGGTCCAGGTACACAGCGGCCAAGTGCGTCCAAATGCAAATATTACCTAAGATATTGTTATCCCAACTTATGCTCATGTCTTGTGGCAGATGAAATGGTGTGCCGCTTGCTTTGCTCAAAACAAGAAAGATTTTTCTGATGACTCTCTCTTATTTCCAAGCGTGGAACTCAGCTTGTGAGTTGATGGAAAAACGTCGTAAATTGTGCCCTAAAGATCAAATGATTGGCAGAAACGAGGGATGAACTTCCTGCATTAAATGGGTTATACGGAAAAATACCCTGGATATGATTCTAAGGACTCCTCAAAGCTAATGTAATCAAGAAAAGTTAATACTGCAAGGAAAATAAATGATCGCTAAACTATTGAAAATCTAAATGAACTTTAAATATGCAAACTGGATTGAAACAGAGCTTTAAAAGGAAATTTAATTGCAACAAAAATAAATTAAGTTAAAGTAAATAAAACTGAAAACAAGAAAATCTACTGGCAGCATGAAATATAAATTAACAGAAATGGAATTGAACATGAAATTAAATGTCGACATCATTTGATTTAATTAAAGGAAACTTGGAAAATAGAAAAGGAAAAGAAGCAATCCGATCACAAAGAAATACTATTGAAAGCAATGAAACTCACCATTACAAATCCAACAAATGAAGAGCTGAATTACTAAACTAATTTAGGCTGAAGCGTAGAGTTGAAATTAAATTAAAGGGTTTGAAACTAAGATGAATTTGAGCATAAAGAAAAATTGTGTTGACTTTGTTGTGTGAGATGTCGACTCCTGCTTGATCTTATCATTAGGTATTTATAGCACCTTAGCAGCATGGTGGAAATCTACGGCAACATCCTAAAAGATCAACGGCAGCATGATATTTGCAACAAACTGATTAATTTGTTGGTGCTGCGATTATCCTCCTGGAAGCTCGCAACAAGAGAACGGTTTTACTGTCGTTGTTGAAATAACCACTCAATCTCATCTAAAAAGATTCACACCAACTTTCAACTAATAAAATATCTACCATCATGGGTGACACGTGACTAATAAAATATCTGCCATCATGGGTGACACATGACAGCACTCCATTTGTTGTAAAATTAGGTGTAAACAAATACCATGGGTGCTAACTTTATTGGAACACTTTTTAATGGAAGTGTTTGAGAAAAGGGTAATAATAGCTTATGAGCCGAGCCTTTA